GACAAATAGATGACTATCCGTAGTATGACCACAGCATCCTATAACTGTTTAAAACAAGACTGCTACACTCGGAGCTTTTTCATGTGGAAGTAGTATTAACCTTATTTTGCTGGTATTGGGAATAGTCGTGGACTAGTAGTAGCTGGTAGTGCTTGTCAAGAGGCTCTGTTGTTTTTTTTTGACAACTGTTGATAAGTAGTAGCACAGTTTAATGGTATTTTAAGAGTTAATCTAGAGTAGGTTCAAAGCTATTTCTTAGGAGATCTAAGAATGCCAAGGCTCTATTTGTGGCAACCTTTCATATAATTATTTACACAGCCTCATGTATTTCTCTGCAAGATGTGTACTATTACTGCATAGGCACACTGGGTAGAGCTATTGAGAAGGTTAGCTAAAAGGCCAGGACATTGGAAGAACCTGGTTTTGAATACTTGAAGACATTCAGTTGCTTTGTCTTTGATCCCTTCCAGAAAATAAAATTTACCCTGTGCAGTAAATGTTACTCATTTTGTGAATCATCTCCATAAAAATACTCAGTACTACATCCTGCAGAAGTATCAAGGAGCTCTTGTTAATCAAATGACATGAAAAATCTTAATTAGTTCCTTATTTAGTTCTTTTTCATACATAACCGGTTTTTTTTTAACCTTTCTACACTTCAGTTGCAAATCATGCTAATTTTTAGTGTTGCTTGTTAAACAGGAATCTTGACCTTGTTTCTTTTCTCTTGTTCAGATAGCAGAGGCAGGAATTGCCTACTGTGTGAAAAGATCATATAAATGAATCTGGAATAACCTCTTTGCTTATTTTCTCTCTCTTTATTTTTTTATTGCCCCTCCTCCCTTTCCTGCCCACCTTTATACCATGGTTATATTGTGTTTAAGGTTCTGCTACTGAAACTTATAGATGGCTATAAAACTGTTTGGAATAAAAAGGATGAACGCATACTTCCTTTCTAGCATCATCAAAAAAGCTGTAATTTCTTGGCTTGCCCTTTTTAAGGTTGAGCTTTGCACTGGAGTTACTCCTTTGCTATCTTAATAAGCTTTTCCAGTTTATTCATTTGCAAGTACTGTATTTCTTTATCTGGGTAAAGGGAGCAGCTGATTTCTTGGATGTGACACTGAGTTAGTATTCATGTAGAGTGTTTGGGTGCTGTTGTGTTTTGCCTTTTAGAAGCTGGATTTTACTTCATGCATTTGGCTTTTAATTGTTCTGTTCTCTCCTTCCTTCCTTGTTTGCATGTGGTTGCTTTCACGTAGGTCTAACTGTGAAGAACTAGTTTTTTGTTTTTTGTTTATTGTTGTTTTTCAGTTGTAGATACCTATCATAGAGCTTAGCAAACAGCTAATGTTGTTTCTATTTCAGGAAATACCACAAAATATGTATTGAAGTAATACATAAATGCAGGAAGTATGCTGTTGCCCATATAACTTTGGCTTCGCTGGCCAAGTTGAATTCAGTGTTGCGTTAGGATATCTGAAGTTAATGGCTTGATTCTAATTGACCTAGGCATGGAAACAACATGGAGTGATATCTGTATAAAGGCTTGTGGAAACTAATATAGCTAGCAGTGCTTGTGGAACTCCATGCTTCCAAAGCATGTTACTGCTTCTAACTGACAATTGCGTCAGGAATTAGCATAGAATTAGTACAGAATAGTGTACTAAGGAAGTACGATTATTATTTCTTGCATGGAGAACTAGGGTAGAAGCCAGCAATTCTGGTTTCATTAACAAAATCACGGTTAAATCTTTAGCATTTCTTTGCCTTTTGTTCTTTCTTTTGTCTTTTTGGGATGTTGGCTCCTGGCTAGTGAAGGACACACAATGTAGAGGAGTCATGACCTGCTGCTGTGAGGAGGAGGTAAAAGTGGAGGCTCATATTTACCCAACAGTAGTGAGGTGGATGACGAATTGAGGACCACTTACAGCTGAGCAGCATGACCCTGTGCTTGGTGCTTTTCCTGTCCAGGGGACAGTGACTGTCACTGTGGTAGGGAGGAGGACAAGCCTTTGGATGACTAATAGTCTAGGAAGTTTATATTCAGTTATGTTGTATGTTATCAAATGAAGTACAGGCCAACTCTACTGCAGCTTTTGCTTAAATATGAAGAACTAATTTGCAGAAATCCATAGAAAAAATTAAAAAAGCTACAGAAGTTGTTAGCAAGCTGATCTACAAGGCCCTGGCCTCCTGGGCCCTGTCTTCCATACCTTCAAGTCTGCTGCGGGGGAGGGAGTTTCATCCCTGTTTCCTTGCCTGAAAATTGCTGTACACATTAATTCCACTAGCTCACTTTAAAGGACTCTTGAGGTTTGTTTCTTCAGATATACCCAGTAAAGTGCCATTATATCTTGTCAGACATCAGGGGGAATGACTGGCAGTGGGAGGGAAGGATAGGTGTATGTTCCCACTAAACTCTTCTGTATGAGGGTGGGTTTATGATACTTTTATGTGGGATCTATTTAAATATGTCTGATGTGTGAGGTGAGTTGGAGGCCAAAGTATTGGACTATTGAGATAAGATGGACCAGTCTCTTCCAGCTATATAACTGCTGGGATGGGGAGTATTTGACAGGTCTGTTTGTTTCTCCATGACCCAGCTTCCTTATCTGTGAAGTTGTTGCAGTATTCTTGGTGTATTTGTAAAACCTTTTGAGGTGTGTCAGTGATGCATGTTTAGGAAAACTAGATTATATCACTGTTGGATGCTATACATGGATTTTTGCCTTAAACTATTTTTGCAAACTAATGGGAGCCTAGTGGTTTTGCTTTAATCTGTCTTTAGTGCACTGGCAAATGTATATGTGTAATAGCATGGAAATCTGTATGTACCTATGTTGTGGTTTAAGCCCAGCCGGTAACTCAGAAAGGTGCAGCTGCTCATTCACTCCCTCCCTTCTTCCTCCCACTCCTGAAGGGATGGAGAGGAGAATGGAAAGAATGTACCTCACACAGGTTGAGATATGAGCAGTCCGGTAACTAAGGTATAACACAGAACTACTACTGCTATCACTGACAATAATTATGATAAGGGAAATAACAAAGGAAGAGAATACAACTGCTCGTCACCTGCCAACAGATACCTCTCCCAATCCAAGCAGCGATCTAGCCCTTCTGGGTAACTCCCCCCAGTTTATATATTGGGCATGATGTGCTGTGGTATGGAATATCTCTTTGGTTAGTTTGGCTCAGGTGTCCTGTCTGCTTCCTCCCTGCTTCCCTCCTCCCTGGCAGAGCATGAGACTCAGAAGGTCCTTGGTCAGAGTAAACATTACTTAGCAACAATTAAAATCGTCGGTGTTATCAGTGTTGCTCCAAAGCTGAAAGTAAAAAATGCATCCCTGCACCATTTACTAAGAAGGAGAAAAATGACTGCTACTGCTGAACCCAGGACAACCTATGACTTCCCTGTGGTTTTTGGTGTGATAATGGAAAACTGTTGTTAAACAGAAGCTGGATGGGAAATAGATTTCCAAAGCCTTTGAAAAGCTAATGTAAAAAATACTTGTTTTTTTCTTTGGTCATAGTATCTGTTTGGTCGCAGTACCTTACCTCAGAATCACTACTTCTGTCTGCTATCCCTGAACTTCCTAATAATTTTCCCCCCCTCCTTTTCAGAGAACAAGGAACAAAAATTTCTTCCTGTGACTTGTTACTTGTCCTCTAAATCTGTGCAGAGCTACACTTCCTGACTCTGCTGTGAAGAGCTGGGTAAGAATGGATGCAACATAAAGCATAAGTCCTGCAGCCTTAGTCACCAATCTGATGGACTTACTGTAAGTAGGAATAAGGCTTGTTTTTTTACATGTCTGCCATGAGAATGAGAGTTCAACAGTGCATTATTATTTACTTTTCTTTGTTAGCACTAATAAGCAAATACCAGAATGAGCCTTCCTAAATTGTTATGAAGTATTGGCGTGCTCAAGCCAAGCCGCTGTTGAGATATTTACAATTCAGCTTTGGGTGAGATGATGCCTTAGTACAGGTTCTGAAACATAAGCTTATACTTTGGGCTGAATTATGTTGTGTCTTAATACAACTGTTCTTTATAGTCACGGTTTTCAACAGGGGTCATGGCAGTGTGCCTGTGTGCAGGGTACTGCTTTGCAAGCTGGAGAAAGGTATTTCTCAGTGCGTGACTGAGGCACTTCCTAGGCTGCTTTTTCATGTAGAGTAACATTATGAAAGGACTCAATAGATTAAATTTTTTATTAAAATGATTGCTTATAGAGGTGTATAACTGCCTATTTTCGAACTGTACCAGAAACATTTTGTGTTTCTTGTGTCTTTGCTAATCTGTGGTTTTACTTAATGTTAATGTTTAACTTTAAAATAAACTGCTATATGCTTGAAACATTGGATGTTGCTCCTCTCTTTTACTCTGTGTGAAAAACTTCCGTATTGATGTGGCATATGATTTCCCTGCTGTACTTTTTTCCCTGTTTTTGCCGTGGTGGCTACAACACACAACCGAGATGACAACTGTTTGCGGTGTGGAAGAGTGAAAAAGATGTGGCCTGTGGGCTGCTAGCCGTGGCATTGTTAAATGAGTTAGTTGAATTTGTATTTCCTGATGCTTTGTTCATGTTCTCGTTTCTGTGTCATAAGCCTCAGAGCGATACATGAGTAAGTGTTGAGAGAGGCAGGAGGACCTGAACTTGGTACTGACACCATGTGGGTTGTTGCCAGGATATTCTTTAACTCATTCTGTCAGCGAGAGTGAGCACTAAGTTAATCTTCTTGGTTTGTGTGGAGCTCGTGTTAATGAATAGTTGCCACTGTATAATCCTCAAGGTTGTATTGAGAGGCTATTGAGATCTGATTTCGTGCTGCGCCTTAATTTGGACCTTCTCTTGAAATACTTGTGTATTTTTTCCCTGGAGATTTGGTGTTTTTCCAAAGGGAAAACTGACAAGAGATGTGGCAAAGCTTCTGTTTGTGATTGTTCTGTTTTTTTTTTTTTTTTTATTTTTCATATAGGTTCAGGTTTTACTTCCAAACACTTGAATTGTTTTGATATTGCTGATAAAGATGACCTCTACTGTAGTAAGTAAAATATTCAAAATATTCCTCTCTGATTTTTTTTCTCTAATGAGGTTTTATTTGTTTACAGGTAACAGCCTATTGAGTGGTGGTGTGGTTAACAAGTCTTTTAAAATGTGGAGTAGTTGTGTTTTCTGCAAAAAAGGAAAGTTACTCTGAGGCAAATGCAAGAGGCTTGAATTAACTAGCACTTCAAATGCCCAGGTGCTCCTGGGAGACATTTGTGCTTTTAAAGCTTGTTTTGGAGGTATAGATTGAAATGGGTTCTAACTAGCTCTTCATGCTCTTTCAGGATAAATATTCCACATCTGTTTGTAGGCCAGAAATACCTTAGGTATACCTGGTGGTGTTTTAGGACATTATGGGGCAGTAAGCATTCATCCTAGACCTGGACAACTGCACCCAGAGAGGCTGTTACTTGTCAGTGTTTCTTTCAGTGATGGTGCTACCTAAAACTGGCCTTGCTGCTTATTTCTACCTTGTCGGATGTTCTAATGCAATGGTTTGTGCAGCCAGCTGGAAGACTGGGCTCAAGAATCCTTCTTGAGTTGCTTTGGATCAGGAGACTGATCCCTTCATATGCCTTCCAGCCTCACTCTGTTATTTTTATTATTCAAAATGCAAGGTATTAGGCATGTACTATAAATCTCTTTGTGCGAATTTGAGTGACTAGGATGTGTATGCATGCATGGTGTATTTCTGCATTGGCAGAATTATTTAGCAGGGTTCTGAATGTAAATGGCACCTGAAACTTACTTTGTCCTAATTGCCCTCTTGCCTCTCGTTTTTAATTTTCTCCTGTTTCCTTCACCTCAACATTACCATTTAGGGTCCACCGCCATACTATGAAAATCGTGGCTTTCAGCCAGAAAATGTCTGTTCTGCCAGGCAGCCAGTAGGTGCTAACCCGTATCCCCAGTACTTCACAACAAATGCTCCGTCAGTGCCAAGCTATGTCCCAAAGGTTGATACCTATCAGTCGAGTAGGCCAATAGCGCATTCATCCAGGAGAACATGTTCATCAGGTAAGTTTTGGTGTGATTTCTTCCAAATTTAGACTTAAGGTCTTCCTAAGTAAGATAATAAAGGGGATCTTCCTTTCCAACTCTGGTATTGAAGGAGCCACCCCCCTGTGGATGAAGAAGTAATAGCTGGCTGGGATACCAGCGTAACTAGACAGCAACTTGGGTGATTTGGAGGAGGGACAGTGGAATGGAGGAAAGTCTGTTTGGCAAAAAGTGTGGGGTTTTTATTTCAAGAAAATAGATGGTGGTTTGAAATTACCTTATTTTTGAACATAATTTCTCTTTTTCTTCTTGCTTTCATTTCAGGTGTAAAGAAAGCCATAATCATTATAGTAACTATTTTAATAGTCATTTGTTGTGCAGTTGCTGCTTTCTTCATTTGGTATTTTGGTAAGAATTTTTTTTTGTTCTGAAAGGAAAGATGTATTAAACTTTTAAAGTTAGAAATATAAATTCTTCCATTTTATGCCAAATTTGTGACAATAAAGCCTTCATTACCTATCTCTTGAGAGATGACTGTAGTAATAGGACAAGGGGTAATGGCTTAAAACTTAAACAGGGGAAGTTTAGATTGGATATAATGAAGAAGTTCTTTACTGTGAGGGTGGTGAGGCACTGGAATGGGTTGCCCAGGGAGGTTGTGAATGCTCCATCCCTGGCAGTATTCAAGGCCAGGTTGGACAGAGCCTTGGGTGACATGGTTTAATGGGAGGTGTCCCTGCCCATGGCAGGGGGGTTGGAACTTGATGATCTTAAGGTCCTTTCCAACCCTAACTATTCTATAATTCTATGAACTTATATTGCTTCCTAATGGAGTTTGTGTTTTTGTTCTGCTTGGGGTTTTTTCCTCCCCTCCCCTCCAGTCTATCTACAGAGCTGGTGAAGTGTAACTGTGTGGCACCATACCTGTTAGTAGAGAGTAGCTTGAGCTCTTGCAAGGGTTTTTGCACTGGGGGATAGCTGGCACGTGGCTGTGTGTCGCCAACATATTCTGCAGTGCATTTCATCAGGAAGTTACTGCTGCGCATCTTTTCTGAAATGTAACTGTTCTGAACTTGAACTTCACGTAAATTCAGGTGAAGGAAGAAGATTGAAGCAGATTTGTATACCTTAACTGCAGGAGTGTAGACCATCAAGATACCTTTTATTTTGATAAAACGGGATCTCTCTTGGAGCAGAAGTAATTCGCATCCATTTGTTTGTTTCTGTGAGGCTTTTGCTTTGAAAGTGCATTAATGTGTGAGCCCAGCCTGTCTCGCCGCTGTGACCCTTACCACAAATGGTGTCCTCACCTTGGAAGTCATCCCTAGCCAGGGTGGCTGAACTCTGAGGCTGGGCTAGAGCACTTCCGTTCAGTTTAGGATAAGTTTGTCTTGTGCTATCTTAATTTCCCTTTCATGAAAGCCACTTTTTGAATGAAACTAAAAAACAAATTGTTATGCTTTTAGGAGCCTCTCTGTTCTGTGGAGGAAACAAAAGGAAGAGAGAAGGGTGTTAATTTAAAACTATTAGGATGAGACTCACTTTATTTATACAGGATGAATGTAATCTTGTTTTAAATGGCAGCTAAAGCAAAAGGATGTAATTGGAGTAATTGCTTTCTTCCTCCTTTTCCGTTTCTCAGTGTTATGTTTTGTCAGTGTAAAGCTGACTCCTTTTAGACAATTTAATGTTGCTTGCTTATTCACGGGAGGCAGTGGACAAAATCCAATCAGCTGCATCAGTGACTTAATCTGACAAGTAATGTAAAGAACAGAGCATCTTCTGTTGTGTCAGGCTAGGTCTCCTCCCACCTCTGAGTTAGGGTTAAGGTTAGAGCTCTTTCTGATGTTTTGCTTTATCGAAGTGGAACACTCCTTGAGAGTAAACAGTAGTCACCTAAGGCTAAGGTAATTGATGTTCAGTCTAATGTCTGTGTTGCTCTCTACCTGCAGTAGAGAATCGTTGTCTTGGCTCCTTAATTGAGTGTGGATCTTCAGGAGTGTGTATACCACCCTCGCAGTGGTGTGATGGAGTGAGCGACTGCCCCAGTGGGGAGGACGAAAACCGGTGTGGTGAGTGCTGTCAGTCAAGCAGGGGGACCTTCAGCCAACTGCAAGAGGTTTTTGAGCAGATTGCCTAGTCTAAAGCCAGCCTAAGCTACAATAGGGCTGTTTTAGCCTAAGTTATACCTCTAAAATGGTTTTAGGATGTTTGAATGCTTTGAAGGCTGTATCTAGATACTCACTTTGTTTCCAGACCGATTGAAAAGCTGAAACAAAATGACTGATTTCAGGGGTTTGAGATGGCTTAACTTTGAATCAGTTTTTAGAGTATCACCTTTTCATTTGAATGGGATTTGTGCAAAACTGAATGTTACATTGTCTCTGGAATGAACAGTCATGGTTGACTTTGAAGTAGACTTTCAGGTGATAATATAAAGCTGGTGGTCTTCAGTCAGGCTTGTCTTTTTCCACATATTTTGCACTCTTCATTCTCCCAGTAATGCTTCAACTACTTCATAACTCCTTTGTGTAAGAAAGCCTGATCTGGTCAGTTTGTTCAACTGAAAAGATGCCAAGGGAGGCTTTAGTGCAGAGCTGAAGGTGGAAATATCATCAATTTGTCTGTTCCAGAGGCACGGCATCTCAGTTCTAACACCTGTGTTGTGCCAGTGCTACTCTAGAAAACTCTGGCTGTACTCTTTTAATCTCTCTGGGAACTTTTATTCTGCACGTCTTGTGTAAGGGTAGTATTTCCTGGCATATCCTCTAAGGCTGTTCCTCTGCATTTGGTTAAGTAATGGGTTTTTGGAGAAGCTTGTTCATTCCATCCTTTTGCTTGAACTGTTTTATATTAAATTAATGTGCAAATAATTTTGCGTGTTACATATGGGATACAATACGTAAGGGATACAAAACACAATGGGACATGGAGTGTCAGAGCTAATTGCTCCTTGTTACATTCTTGCACTATAAGCACTTCTATGAATAAATTTGATCTATTAATATCCAATAAAAACATATTACAATAGATTATATTTTATTTATACACAATGCATGATATATTAAGAAATACATGGTTGCGTAGATGATGAGAGGCTATTGCAGTCTTTCTCTTTGGTAAAATGTGAAAGAGAATTTTGAGCATAAAAGCTGTAATGAAAGATGAACAGTCTTGAGCACTTGCATTTTTAAACTGGCAATTCTTTATATTGCTTTACACAAAGTAATAAAGTCATTTCAATATTTCTGTCTACTTGGTATTTCTTCAGAATTGGGATAGAAGGCAGCATTAAATTAACACCACTTCATATGTACAAAAAAAAATATTATGGTTAACAATACTTTTAAGGAGAGAGAGAGAGAGAGCAGTAATATAGCGTGTGATGTTCTTGGTTTTTTTTGTTTTTTTTTCTTCTTCCTTTTCTGGCAGTTAGACTTTTTGGACCAAACTTTATCCTGCAAGTTTATTCACCTGTCAGCAAATCCTGGTATCCTGTTTGTCAAGATGACTGGTATGATGATTATGGGAAGACTGCATGTAAAGACATGGGCTACAGTGTGTAAGTCTAACCTTCATTAGCCTTTGCACATACATAGAAAGGTTAAAATTTCCCTCTTGCTGTTTTAAAGACTGTGTATGTGAAACAAAAAGCAGCTGGCAGTCTAGTTTTTGTGAACGAAGGTGGGTGTTATTTTAATAGTGGTAGCTGTTACAGAATCAAAATGAAATATGGCCCCAATGAGTTATGGGGTCTGACCTGCATGCCGTAGTAACTCAGTGGAGTCACTTGTACCCAATACATGCACTTACAAACGTCTTCCAGAGCTAGCTTCAGATCATTATAATTGCTCAGTAACATCCAGTCTGACTATCATCACCAGTGTTGCATAGAAAGCCTTGGCCTTCTGAGGACATAAGTAACACAAGCTCATGTGGAAAATCGATGTAAACATTTGTGTCCCTGAGTGCTGCCTGTGTTCTCCTTGCAGAATGCTGTAGGCTAAATTCTTCTATGGTGAAACACTTGATGTTGCATCTTTCTGACGCAGTTGTCAAATGCTGTCTGCTGTTGTGCATGGAGTAGTGGGGTGAATTTATTGCCCAGGCAGAACTTGTGTGTGCCCACTCTGTCATCATGGCACCCTGAATTCAGGTCTTTGAACCAGCAATGACCCCAGCAGTTCCAACTCTAGTAAGACAGCCCAGCAGCGACTACATGGAACTTGTCCTCACCTGGAAAGGCTGGCAGAATAGCACCACTTGCTGCTGCTCTCATTGTGCCACAGAAACGTGCCTGTCATGAGTTACTGGACCTGAACTTTGCTATGCTGTGTAAATGTACTGGCAAAGGCATCTCTTCATCTTGCGCTGTTTCATGAGGCTGAAGATTCCTGCTGTGTGTGCATATTAGATAAAAATAATATTTTAATCTAGTAACTGTTTGATGGGAAATGGAACTTGACAAAATTTTGAAGAATCTGAGTCTCTGGCACCTTACAACACCCCTGGGGTACTGTGCTTAATTAAAAAATAAAATCCTATTTTTGGTTGTGCTTTTGTGAGAAACTGTAGCTTGGCACACTGTACTGGTTTTTGTTTGAAAACTGAAACTGCTGGGTTTCATAATGGACTTTCTGTTTTGCAGAGATACATACTACTACAGTCAAGGAGTAGCAACTGAAGATGGCTTTAAAAGCTACATGAAGCTGAATGCAAGTGCTGGGAATGTAGACTTGTACAAAAAGTTGTATTGCAGGTATCTTTGTCTAATACAAGCTTATTTCCTTTTATCAGCGTCTTTCTAGCTTTGTAAGAGGTGTAGTTTCTTCCTGTAGCATAATGCAAGCACATCTTTTAGTGGGGGTTTTTAGAGGGAAAGAGACTTTGTTTTTCTTCTATTTGAGCAACTGCTCTCCTATTTAAAACCACAGCTGTCTTTTTACCTCCCTTCCTCTCTTCATTTTCAAAAGAGATCTTCCGTCCTGCTCCCTCCATGCTGCCTAGATGGCTGCCATGTGAAAGGTACTTTTCTAAGGCTCTTTAGCCATCAACAGGAGTTTCTATAAGGTGTCAATAGCTACCAGCTATATAACACATTCACAGCAGATGGTACAGCTTTGGATTTGTTTTTTTTAGTCATATGAATACACAAAATGGATCTTTCATTGTGGAAAGTTATTTTTATTCTCATTAAACAACTCTGAGGTGTCTGGTTTCTAAACCTGTAGACTGCTGTGCCTGCAAAGTTCCCGTGGCTTCGTTGTTTAGATTCTTCTACAGCTAATTCATAATTTGGCTCAACTTTTTCCTCACGCTGTTCTTCGTATTGCTTCTCAACAGGCTTACAGACCTTTTGTGCAAGAAATGGTGGAGGTCAGATCATTGCTGGTAGGGTAGCTGGAAAGGGAAAAGAAAACTGGGAACTCTGGGCAGGAAAATGAAAGTGAGAGCAGGGCATATAGCTGGAAAGGGCAGCAGCAGCTGGAGGGTGATCTTTGCTCACCGTTTTCTTCACTGTATACCTAAAAACCCGGGTTTCTTTTTATTTCTATTGCAGTGATTCCTGTACATCAGGAAAGGTGATTTCTCTGCGTTGCATACGTAAGTGACTGTTTCTCAAACTTCTGCTTATTCATGAAATGCCCTGACTGGGAAATCCTTTCAAATAGGCATAAATAATTGCTATCTTTTGATGGGCAGATGATTTAACTCTTGGTTTCCAAGTTTCAGATGTTAAAAGATGAGAGCAAGAAGGGAGAGGAGACGAGAATGTTGGACTCCCAGTTGCTTTTGTCTTTGCTGCCACCAGCTCCTTTAAATTTACTTGCCTGCAGTGAAGCTTTGTAGCCTTTACCCAGTAATTGTGGTGGGACATTTACGGCACATCTGCTTTCCAGCGCACAGACATTGGGAGGGCAGTGTGTTCTTGATGGTGGTGGCTGTCATAAGGCAATTCCTGGTTGTTGTCTGTTTTGTTGCACAACACAGCACTGTGTCTGTGTGGATCACCAGAGATGCCTGAATACCACGTTCAGGGGTGTAAAGAACCACTGGTTTGTGGTGAACTGAGGACAGCAGCTACCAAATACTAATCTTGATGTTTACAATATGAAGGGAGTGTGGGCTATGGGAGACTTGCGATCTTGGTGTGCAAGGCAGGGGTGCAAGCTAAGGCATATTGAAGGCCAGCAGTGCAGAGGTCAGTCTGTGCTCCTCTCTGCTAGGGAAGCCTTTGTTGCAGAAGCCATCTTCCAGACCAGCTTGCTCTTTAATGCTTCTGTGTGTGTAACTGACTCTTTAGAGTGCGGCCTCTCCACTAAAAGCGTCAGCATCATGAACAGAATTGTGGGCGGCAGCGGGGCGGTGCTGGGGCAGTGGCCATGGCAGGTCAGCCTCCACGTGCAGGGCACCCACATCTGTGGAGGCTCCATCATCACCCCTCAGTGGATAGTGACAGCTGCCCACTGCGTGGAAGGGTGAGTCTGTCCTTTGTCTCTTGAGTGGTGATTTTCCTTGCTCCATGCTGAAATACACAGATTTGCTTAAGCCTCCCAACTTTTTCCTTTAAAACTGAATTAAATACCATTTCTTCTCTCCCCCCCGCCTTTAATGCAGTTGCTAGGTATGGTATTTTGTCTAGGTAGCAGTATGATTTTCAATCGTTAAGGGAAAATGTTGTGGAGGAGGCTGGCTGCAGATCATCTGTCTATTTTCTACAGGAAGAAAATCTTACTTGTTGAAGGTGGAAATTAAGTTGAATGGTGGTGTACAGCACAGGTACCCACCCAACTGAAGATGTAAACTCAAAGCACAAAGCTTAATGCCAGGCAGTACAGTGTTTTCATGAAGGTGTTAAACTGCACTGTGAGGAAAAACAAAAAAGGGAAAAAAAAATTGGGTGAAAAAAAAAGCAAAAAAAAAAAGCCAAACCCTCAAATATCACACAGCTGTAGATATGATCAATTTGAAGATGCTTGTACTGCTTATTTCCTCTTATCTTCATGCCACATGGTAGTGAAGCCCAAGTCAGTATTAAATGTTAGTTTATACCTGTCCAAGAAGCACTATAAATTGGCATAAACAAGGAAAATAAGTGGTACTTGGTACATTTTTAACATGTAAAGGAGTGTTGAGGGTGTTGTGGTACCTATGTACAGTGGCAGAATGTATTTAAAAGGTGGCTGCTTCTGTTGGAGGAAAAATTCACTAAGGAAAAACATGTTTAATGGTTGGTTGACTGGATCACAAGTTGAGGCTAAGCCAAGAAAAAATAACTTTGTCCTTAAGCTTGAGAAAGGAATGCAAGTGTGTGTTCTTACGTGATGATCTTATCCCTCCTTTGTTTTCTGATTTGAGCTCTGTAAGATGCAAAAGCTTTAGGAATGGCAATCAGGCTGTAGCTGGTACAGAGCTGGTTTTCAGTCTTGTGGTGGGGTTGGAGTTTTGTTTGTTCGTTCTTAGGTGTGGGTTTTTTTTTTGGAGGGTGTTTGTTTTTGTTTGTTTTTTTTTTGAGGGGGGACAACTGTTGCAAGCACTACTGCCTTGGCATTTCTTGTGGAACGAGTTCTAACACTTGTAGGAAGTTTTCTAGTGATCATTTTTAAACTATGCTGGAGCACAAGACTACTTAAATTGCATCTAGCAAACATGCTCAACATTTAAAGCTACCAAGACCACACACCAAAAACCCCCACAAACCTGTCATTTTCAAGATAGTGAAATTCCTTCACTGGATCATGTTTTTACTCCTTCTGGCTTTTGCCGCCCCTGTGCGTTTTGGATAGATAGTACGTGAATGACACTGCAGACATGTGAGACCTCAGAAATAACTGCTTGATCCCTCAGCCATGGAAATCAATAGACTTCAGTGTTGCAGACTCAGACTATAATTTTCTATGCTGAGTGACTAAGGGGACAGACAGTGACACCCCTTTTCAAAGATTTTTTTTTTAATTTATTTTTATTTTTAATATATTTATGAAATTAGAGTCAAGCTTTCCCGAAGTGAGAGGTGTTGTAATTTGTTTACCTTGTTCTTTGGAAATGGTAGTCAAATGCACGTGTGTTCTTGGTCACACATGCATTTGACTACTGTTTCTGAAGACTGTTTTTTGAAGGTCATAATCTGTGACTCATTACCAGAGAAGCAAACCTTCTAATCTTCCTTTTTCTCTAGACAATTTTCTGAACCGCACAGCTGGAGGGTTTATGCTGGGATTCTGAATCAGAATGAGATGATCATCAAAAATGGTTACAAAGTGCAACAAATAATTTCCCACCCAGATTATGATACAGATTCTAAAGACAACGATGTCGCCCTTATGAAGTTAGAGACATCGTTGAGTTTTACTGGTATGTATCCTGCTCTTAGGGAAAAAATCTGATAGCAATGAGCGTGTCCATTAAAACGTCTGAATTTCATCAAGAAATCCTTGTAGATATTTACGGGAATAACACAAAATGTGGGTAAAGAGACCTTAGAGACAGAGACGGGGTAGAGGTAGAAGCAGAGGGCCCACCCTCCAATTTTCTAAGTAGAATTTATTTAAATCTAGTACATGGTAAAAGAGCTTGGGCTTATTTCAACAATTTTCTTTTACCCCAGAATGTTGTACAGTGCTTACATATTGCCACTCCTATATATACAGGCTCAGGACATAGAGGTGGGGAGCTGACTAAACCACAAACCAAGTTCTATCAAGTAACAATTCGAAAGCCAAAAGAACAACCCCAAAAGAAGTGTTCCAAGAAGTGTCTGTCTTAAAAGTAGATGTAGGTTGTTTGTAAGCAAGCAGTATAAAATAGAGAACAAACCATATTTAAACTTGAAGTGCTTTTTATGTACAGGTCCTTTGTATTTCAGTGCATCGTTTTGAAGTTCTACTGGAAGCAATCTGCAGGAGCTCTTCTGCTGCTGCTAACCTCTGTTTATCAGGTTTTTCGTTTCCATTGAATCCTGCTTGCTTTGTAATTATTTTCAGCAGGGTAAAGTACAGGGAAAATGCATGGTGTGTATGTATTGAAGCGGTGGTCATGATTATGGTTATGCATTTATTTTGAATTATGTCTGGACATCTGGGATTACAGATGTTACTGTGTTTCTTTTGTAGATACTGTACAGCCAGTTTGTCTGCCTAATCCAGGAATGATGTTTGAGCCTAATCAGGAGTGCTGGATATCTGGATGGGGAGCAGAGAGCCAAGGAGGTAAAGAGTGGCTCTGGAATACTTTGATCTTCTACATAAACCACAGCAACTGTAGGGAGGTGTTCTTTGCCTCCTGCAGATTTCATGTGCTTTTAATAGCCCTGTAGATAACACAGTTGATTTGGGGTTGGAATAGGCAGGTAGGTGCCATGTTCTCTTGCTTTACAGTCCACTGACAGCAAAGCAGGGTAACTCACTGAACTCTTGGGAGGGAGTTTTAGTGTCATGTTGTCTCTGTGTGGTGGACCATATATCTTAAGTGTCCATCCCAATGTTTCTAGTATGTTTAATCTTGAGCAGTGCTAGCAGAAGAGATTTATAATAGTGACATAATGTGATGCTTGTTCTAATTTTGTCTTTGTATGTGTGGTTTTGTGTGTGTTTTATTTTTAGGTAAAACATCAAATAACTTGAATTATGTTAGGGTGTCCTTAATAGAACAGTCTACGTGTAATTCTGTCTTTGTCTATAATGGTGCAATTTTGCCTACAATGATCTGTGCTGGATATCTAGAAGGAGGAATTGATTCCTGTCAGGTTAGTATTTCTCATGACCGCATAATAATGATCTGATTATTTTTGTGGTCTCACTAGTAGGCTTTTCTAATGATCTATTAATTACAAACAGTTGGGGGGGGGGGGGGGGGATGTGAGGAAGGAAAGATAACATTTTGGTTGAGTTTCTAATTCCTTTGATGGTGCATCCCTTAAAAAGGGTGAGATTTTGTTTCATCTTCTGAATGGCTGCCAGAGTTCTCACTAAATACCCAAAGAGGGTAAGGCAGTCCTTTTGAATGCTTCAAGGATGTTTTGTTATCTGGTATTTAAAGTTCAATGAATGATCTTCATAACCACAGTGATACCCTACCATTATGTTGGTGAACAAGAAAGTCAATAATGCCTGTATCATTTAGTGCATTGGGCAAACAATTTTCATCACTATTACAAGCAGTCGTTATTTAATACTGTAATTGCCATCACATTTTATTTTAGTGACTGCCTTACAATGGTGGTTAGCTTTTTTTTGAAACTTAACCTGTATTCCTGAAGTGAAATGGATTGTGTCTTTTCTGGTGGCCAGGTCAATAATAATACATTTGCATTTTGTGCAGGGTGACAGTGGAGGTCCTCTAGTAACTAACAAAAACTCCTTGTGGTGGCTGGTTGGAGATACTAGCTGGGGATCTGGCTGTGCTACTCCCAATAGACCAGGAGTGTATGGGAATATGACTGTGTTTACAGATTGGATTTATAAAAATATGCAGGTAAAATATGTGGGTGGTTTTAATAATTGAAAATGTCCAAAATTCTAAACCTTGATTTTTTTTTTTTTTATTAAAAAAAAAATAAATGTGACTTGTCTGCTAATGGGGCTGTTCTGTTGCGAAGCATCTAAGTAATTGATAAGGTAGGCAGTCAGCTGTCAACAGAACTTGAACCTTTGTTGATTTGTTTTTTCTACACAGGCAAACCGATGACAATGCTGGCTGTCCTCCTTGCTGATCAATGTTTCTGAGAACAGGAATAAATGAAGCCATGGGTGCCTGGGATATTTATTCACTTTGCAAATGATTTTTTTTTCCTCTTTGAATTATTTAAAAAAAATAACATGAAGGATTGCACACTCGGTTCTGTGCTGGCTACAGTGACTGATCTTAATCAATGAAGGATTATCACAATGATCACCTTTCTTCTTGTGGTGGTCTTGTGCCTGGCAGAAACTGTTCTGTCACCTGCTTAATGAAATGTTTCCTTCTAGTTGAGTAACTCTGACTTGATAATCAGGTACAGGCTTATAATGGCAATTTTAATCAAATTTAAAGATTTTTGTAGCAGGATGATGAGACGGTTTAGTAACGTTTTAAATTAAATGTTAAATAATGTGAATGTTGACTCTCTGAGCTGCTGGTTGGCAATTTAAAAATAAATAAATGTTTTTTGGTATAGAATCACAGAATGGTTTGGGTAGGAAGGGACCTTAAGGACCATTTAGTTCCAACCCCCCTGCCATGGGCAGGGACACCTGCTAGACCAGGTTGCTCAAAGCCCTGTCTAACCTGGCTTGAACACTGCTAGGGATGGGGTATCCACATTTCTCTGTGGGTACCTGTTCCAGTGCCTCACCAACCTCATAGTACAGAATTTCTTCTTAATACCTAAACCTAAATCTACCCTCTTTCAGCCTGAAGCCATTCCCCCTTGTTCTGTCCCTACATGCCCTTGTAAAAAGTCCCTCTCCAGCTTTTCTGTAGGCCCCCTTTGGGTGTTGGAAGGCTTCTGTGAGGTGTTCCCTGAGCCTTCTCCAGACTGAATAAGCCCAACTCTCTCAGCCTGTCTTCACAGCACAGGTGCTCCAGCCCTCTGAGCATCCTTGTGGCTCCTTCTGGACTCGCTCCAACAACTTCATGTCCTTATTATGTTGGGGGCCCCAGAGCTGAATGCAGTACTGCAGGTCGGGTTTCATGAGAGCAGAGTAGAAGGGGAGGAGTATATGTATGAAGGGAAGTTTTCATGCATTATGGTAGAGGCACACAAAAAAAAAAAACCCAACTGTGTATTCAGGTAATTAAAAGCCCTCAGTATCTCAGCACAGCAGTCATCCAAGTCAGATTGTCTGAAGTGAGACCAGTCCGACTGTGCTGTTCTGCCTTAAGCTTCTCTGAACCCAAAAAGGGCAAACCCTGCTGTCACTCTTGATGTAGGCTGTGCTCCAGAGCTGTAGCAGGAAGCAGTGAATTAAGTGTCCCAAAGGTGAGGTTCCTGGCTGCGTGCATTGAGGTTGAGTCTTGAACTCTCCCTGCTGAGAAAGGCAAAAGGCAAAGTTTTTCAGTAAGGCTGTGTTGCAAGCGCTAGACCTCCAATTGCAGACACACGTACAGAGGCTGGATATTTTATACAAAGAAACACAAATTCGCATTTCTGTGTAACCAGATGAACTACCTCATTTATAAAATTTGGCTTTTAATTCCTTACAGCTCTCCTTTTGTGTATCTGCATGTATGTTTTTAGCAAAATGTAATTAATGTCAAGAGTGCCACCTCAAGTATGATTTTGAAACTTATAATCATAGTGCAAAGGATCAAAAAGCCATAACCAGTCTATTTTAAGACAGATACATCTTTTGAATGAAATGACTCCACTAGTCTTGTTTTCTCCTTTAGTACTGAAGTGCAATTATCTTGCATGTAAACACTGCACCAAATAAATTTTTTTTTTATGAATCTTTTTCCTTAGTCGTGGTTTGTATTTTTTTGCTTTGTGTTTGGTTTTGGGATTTTTTAATTCTTTTTTTGGAGATAGTTGCTGCATTCAGTGTCTGAAGTGCTTTGAGAATCCAGTTAGAAAAGAAAAACCCTAAAATGTAAAACAAATTAAAACAACACAAGAGGGTGATCCAAGAGGCTTCTTTTTTTTTCCCCCTAAGGTCCTTGTACAATCCCAAGGCAAGAGAGCTTGATGTCCATGAATGCTGCATGTGTTTTAGTGGCTGGGTCTAATGAAATCACTCCGGCTTGTGAAAATGAATTAAATAAGCAAGTTTAGCCTAAAGGCAGTGGGTCCATGGAGTCACACCCTATTTTGTTATTACATCTCATGCTGCCTGAAGCAATGTGTGCCTGCCTGTCTTCTCAAGATGTGAGACAAGGTGCTTTCAATAGCACATGAGCATTAAGTGTGACTTGGGGGATACCATGAAGCAGTCAACAAGTTGAAAGTACATTCAAAATAGAGATTAAATAAGTTATTGTGGGATCAGGCTTCTTTATGGCTTCTGACCTGCAGCACTGCAAGTCAGTAGTAGCAAAACATCATTATACTGAAATGTGGAAAACTGGCTGTAGTGCTAAACAGAGTTAAGAAAGTTGTACGCTCTACTGGGGTGAAAGCTGTGCCACAGAAGTCAGCCATGTTTAGCATCCTGGATGATTTAATCTCTTGGACATCCAAATTCCTGCTATCTACTGAATTGCCCATCAGTCCCAAAATTTCAGGTGATGCTCCAGGCTTCTAAAAGAAATAGCCTCTTAGCCTTTCTCTACAAATCAGAGAACTGACAAATGAGAAGCAAAGCCAACAGCATCCTGTAGATGTCCTGATAAGATGTAGTTCCCTTTTTTTCCATCTAGGCTGGCATTGTTTCATGTCCACTGTGTACACTCTACCTACTGGGCTGGGACTGAACAGTGGCAACAGCTTGCAGAGTTGTTTTTCAGGCCACGGCAGGAAAGACATCAATCACCGTGAGGCAAAACCACAAAGGGAAGTGTGGGGTTGCTAAGGTTGTGCACTATGCTTCATCTAGGAAAGTCAGGTAATGTGATTTCTACAGTTTGTGAGTAATACAGCTGAAAGCCCTCATCATCAAACAAACAAAACACCACAACCCTCAAGAGCTCTAGCTTTTTAATAATTATTTTAATGGTTATACAAAGTTCATAAAGCAAATGTTTAAAACTCAGACAGCATTTATTCAGTCACAACTCCCAGAAAAGAGCACTTAACATAAGGGTAGGTGTTTGCATGTAATATGATTATGGAAAATAAAGCAAACAACACTAGAAATGGGTGCTGACGTTACATTTTCAGGGATTTTATGAAGTTCTTCAATAATGCTAGAAAATGAGTAGACTGAAAAATTAAGAAATTACAGTGAGGTGAATTTTCTCAGGTACTGGCGGGCTTTGGTGAGACGATCAGCTCTTTCACTGAGGTAGCTCTTATGCTTCGCAGCTTCACTGTCCTCCTGAAGCAGATGGCTTAAGTTGTTTTTTTCTTGCAAAAGATGCAACATTGTGGTCTGTAAGCCATCCCCAAAGTCATGAAAGGCAGAAGACAGGATGATCAGAGGTATCTGATTAGAGAGGCGTTTACTTGCTCCCTGCAAAAAGGGGGAAAGAAGGCAGAAGACTTATTTCCCTGAAAGAACTAAACCAGGAAGGGGCTACAGGAAGTACGGGAAGAAATGACAGCACATTTTTTAAATGTTAAGCACAGAGTTACTGGTCAAGAAGGGAGTGCTTCTATGAACAAAAAAAATGTTTACCATTAGTCTTTTGTACCTAAAAGTCTAAAAACTAAGAGTTAAGGGAATGTCAACTGTTGCTTTTTTCTCTCTGAACTAAACCCAAGGCAGGCTGTTCGCCACTTAGCTCTGCCAGCTATTGTTGGTAAGAGCTTATCCGAGGACATACCTGATGAATAGTACTTGTGAACAATTTCTGGCATCAAATATGTATTCTCTGAATACTACCAATCCATTATGGTACAGGAAATCAAAGAGTGATTTTTACTAAACTTGCTAAATTTCTGTATTTAGATGGTATTTCTGATGTGGTTGTCCTTTTAAGTGTAAGACAACTTTGGAGTAAGCATTAGCTTTAAGGGAAAATGCCTTCAGCAGTAGTGAGGCTTTGTTTTGCCTACATTACATCTATTGATACCTCAATGAAATAATTTTCTGCTAAGCTGACAAACTGTCTGGTCTGCTATTTATATATGCAAATTGAAACATTGACCTAGAAGAGCTTGTGGGATGCTTCTCCCGGGCTTCACTGATGCTCTTGGACAATGGGAGGTTCAAAACCTCTCCAATGCTGGGAGGGAGCTGCCTCCAGCCCTCCTGGTGCCAGGTGAGCACTTACTCCTGAGTGACTGGCTGCAATTGAGAAACATGCTGTCTTCCTTTCTTCTTGTAGCACCTGACTTGAAAATGGCAGTGGGAAGACCTTGAAGAGGCACATTTGATTTGTAGGTCCTATAGGGTTTGGGCAGCCTGTTTCCAGAGAAGTGTAAGGTGTTTCTGGCTTTAAATGCATCTGGAATTCAGTGGGTGCAAATCTTCCATGTACAAAGGTGGGGTTGAACTCAAGCTGAAAAATACCTAAGACTAGATGTTTAGTTTTTCTTTCTGTCTTGCAGAGATCTAGTCAATAGCAAGCAATTCGGCTGAGTCAGCTAAAACGCTTATGCCATTTTCAAAGGCCGTGAACACTTAAAAGCTTCCATTGCATTCAAAATGTTTTGACCTTGTGTAAGTCCCATGGAGATATGATGCTCTGGTATTTGTTATTGTTGAAAATGGCTCTTAGGACATTTACAAAAATGTCTAACAAACTTCTGGGACATTTGTGCTATAGCAGAGAGAATAGTGAGGTGGCAGGGAAGAGTTTACGCAGTTCTGCCTTTGTCTCATTCTCTGAAAGCTGATGGTTTTCTCTCCCTCCATCAGCCTGAATGTTTAATGCAGGAATTTGTCAAAATCTTGCTATTAGAACTCAAGGTGAGCTGTTACCTACCTACTGCATTATTAATATTGAACTTGTTGCTTTCTGGGAGAGTTTTACAAAACAAAGATCAAAAGCAAATATTGATACTGCATGTTCTCTTTGCTGTCTTTCTTTAACACAATATTTTGTTAAAACATCCCATTTGTCTTCAGAGACTTAACTTCTATGAGCTCTCTGCAATGCAGCATACACATTCTGATCTCTACAGATAGCTGAATCCGTTTTAACTTAACATTTTATTATCACTCCTCCCGTCACATTAGTTTAGGCTCTGACTGCAAGCCACTGATATGGCTTTCTGCTGGCAGCAGGAATACACAGAAGGGCTTGAGGCTGACCTGAGCTGACCTAAGCTCTCAGATGCTCTGCTAAATGCTGAAGTGCTGTACATAATGTTGTTAAGCTCATGGAAACTAGTGTTATTTGAAAAATGTGATATAGACTTGCAGTGGGGAAAGCTACCCTAGGCCTGTTGCTTCTTTTGCTGTAGAGGGGGGCTTGTCATCAACTGAATATCAGTAACTTGTAGTTACAGGGCCAAGGGCTCTTCCTCATCCTATCCTCTCCTCCATGCTGGTAAGTGATCGAGAGAACATTGTACTGGCATGGGGCTGGATAGTCAGCAGGAGCCACTCCTTTCTCTGTGAAAAGCTAGAAAACAGGGCTCACTTGCCCATAGTGTATTCCCTGAGCAAGGGGCATCAGGGAACCATGACAGGCTGGGAGGCAGGTAATATGTGCTTTAGGAACCAACTGTCATTTTAAGAAATGGCAGGCTTCTCTAATCGCCATATCTGGCACTGTGCAACTACTTCTCCCTAGAGACTGTGCTGAAACAGCTTTCTGACCAGCTTTGTCCTGGCATTTTCATCACTGGTCAGAAGCTCTGATTAGTTCATACAGAAGCTATGCCTGTACTTGGACAAGACACTTATACCCTCTGGCTACTATTCCCTGCATAGTAGTAGTATGAAAGACTCAATATGTTAACTACAGTGAGACCTGGACAGTGGGTATATAGCATTCAAAGTACAGAACAACTGCTGTATGATCATCTGTAAACTCACGTAGAAGTAAGCCTTCGTGTGAGAAACCAGTTCCCGGACAAAATAGGGCTCTTGTTGCAAATCAGATCCAACCTGTGATTCTTTCCCTTTGCTGACTTTCTTAAAGTATTCTCCATTAACAGATTTTAAATCATTTATGTAAAGGTTATCCTGGCAGTATACAATTCTCTCCATTTTAAACTGGGTCCGGATACGTCTTTGAGCCTCCTCTGCTTGTTTCTCTCTAACGTCTTCAATTCTGGTCTAGAAAAGAAAAGGACAACAAGTTCTCAGACATTTGCTTTTTTTTTTTGCAAAGGTGTCAGTGCATAGCAGCAAAGTTCCCTCAGTCATCCTCAAATTCCCTTAACACGCTTTCTTAGCACTCTTAAGAAAGCATCCCGTCTTTTCTTTCATCTTTAGTGTTTACCAGAACTTCTTCCCTCTGCATCTCTCTCACTGTGTTATGCCTAAAGACCCTCCCTAAATACTTCTGTGTTTGGCTGAAGTAGCTTATTAGCTTGGTATCTGATTGACCTGGGAGCTCAGTAGGGTTTGGCCATGCAAGTAAAATAGAAAACCATCTATTTCACTCACATTTGCATTTGAGTTTCCTTTCTAAGCAGTACCCTGTGAGTGGACACTGCTTCCTTGCTGTCCAGCATTGCTTCTCATCTCTTCTTCAAAGATCTTTCTGAGAGAAAGGCTCAACGACATCCGTATCATTTAACTCTATCCCAAACTGTGAACAGTCATCATGATTTTTAGCTTGTCTGCTCTTGCTCCCTTTTATTGAAGATGAGATTCCTGCACTGGCTAACAACATGGCTTGCCTTTCAGAGAGGCAAAAGCACTGTTTAGTGCTCTTAGGCTACCCACATGCTTACAAATCATTGCAGAACTTAAATTTAAATTAATTATAAACTCTTCAAGGCTGCCATATTGTGTTTTCTTTGCATTGTGGTGTATGTATCAACAATGTGACCAGAATGAATGAGGAATGTATGTTTTATATCTTGTCAAATTTGTACCAAAAGACAAAAGGCACTTTCATTAGTCCCATTGTAAAGGTGCTATCATTTTCGTGCTCTTCCTTATTTTATAAAAAACATAGGCCTGAAAGAAATTCAGTGGTTGCATAAGGGTAATTCAATGAGATAGGTACTCTAAGCAGTATTTACAAATGTTGTCTTTACAAATGGCTGTATTTACAAAGGCCATTCTGTCATGCTCTTATCTCAGGTTACAGGTAATGTCTCACCTTAACAGCTCTGTTTAGATTGTGGAAATTGCCAAAATGCCTTATAGTGAGTTCCATAAATTTCTCTTCAACCAGTCCTAACAGACAGAAGAAAAACAGACAAAATAATGTCAAGTAATCAAGTGAGGTTTTTAAGCTATTGTTAATATGAGACTTGGGAAAACTACCCATTTTCTATATTCATCCAGAAATAGCTGGGCAGCTGTACTGATGTACTGTGCCTTTATGACCAATACAAACAAGTAGGAATTTAGATTCCTAGGTCCAAGAGTGTGAGACATTAAAGACCTGATGTAATCACTTAACACCCGAGAGATTGAATATCCCTGAGATTTCCTTTATAAAGCAATTTCTGTGCTTACAGCTGTATCTGAACAGATGTGCCATCACTTGGCCATGTAAGCACATCTGCATCTCACCCCCTGAGTTGCCCCTGCAGGGAGAGGGGCTAGCCACATACAGGACAGATCACTGAGTCTGGCACAGACACCGTAGATGCCTTCTAAGTCAAACATAGGAGAGAGAGGATCATGACATACTTTTTCCTTGGGTGGTTTTTACTGGATGAACTATGTACTCTTCCCCCCAGTCTCAGCAGTCACTGTGTGATACAACATACAATACACTGTATGATACAATGTACAACAGCATGCAAAGAACTGGCAGAGAAGCTGGGCTCCCAGTTCAGGTTTGTGAATGCCACTCCCTGGGTTTGGGAATACCAAACTGCTGGGCTGTAACCAGGTACTTCTACTGTACTATTACTTTACTCTGTTATTTAAGGTAGTTACATTCTAACTTTCTTCCACCAGCCACTGGGAAAAGTATTAATAAATGCCGGAGACCACATGTAGAGATTGGAGGCTCTAGAGAAGAAGTAAGACTCCAGGTTGAATCAAATTCACTTCCCCACTCTGAAGAATCCTGGCTGGAGCTCTTGCTCCAGCAGTGAGAACATTTGCTCATCCTGGAAAAAAAAAAGTTAGGTGCATGAGTATCTCCCATGTAACAGCCTCATGAGGCCTGTGAGACGTACCAATCACCCTGTTCTGTATCTCAATGGCTGGCTCCTCCAGTTCTATGATCTGCTCTTTTATAACATCCTCAAATGTCCTGTAATTGGTAAAACCTGGGAACTCTCTTCCACGATACTGTTCTTCATATTTCCATGCTTTACCGGGTACAGTTTCGTTAACTGCAATATTAAAATAACATTACTTTACAACTAATCACTCAATTTATGAATATCAGATTTACGAAAGAGGTCTATTTCTCCTCTTTGAAATGCTCTTGAGAAGAGCAACTACTGAGATGATCTTTCAAGCAAAACCATTACTACAGAACTGTGCTAACACGTTATTACTCAGTTAATGACACAATGGAGCAACCACCTATATGACAGAAAGCAACCCAGAAATCATGATGGGGCTCAAAAATACTGGTTCTTCTTGGAATTGCTACCCTCATGGAACAAAACAATACCCCAAACTCCCTAAACAGTCTTATTCCAGGGAATCTACTGTTGACTATCTATTTTTATTTAAGATATCACAGTCAATATTTCTTTGTTAACATTATATGACTTTGCCATCTTAAATGGGGTATATCTCTTTGAACTGGTTTACATATTCAGGCGAAGACAGGTCTCTGAGTGTTTCGGAAGGTTTCAATATGGCCCTGTTTGGGGGTCAAATTTGTGAATCACATGCAGATGTGGAAGTAGAAGTCAAGCTATGAATGCTTTCAGTTCTAACATTCAGATACACGAATCCATAGTTGGATAATTAAAAAAGAAAAAAAAAAATCAGTGGAAAAAACTCCACAAAAAAACCCAGAAGTGGATGTAGAGAATCTGTTTCAGAGTCTGAAAACCAACCTGTACAGTTAAGGTAGTACAAAGTTGTAACATAGCCACAAGAACATCTATCAGCTTTGCAACAGAAAGTTCAAGGCTTCAAATATTAAAAGTGTCTACTCCTCTTAGTACTTTCATTCATCATAAGAAAGCTCAAGTTAAACAGTGTCATCTGACATGTGATGATGTACCTTCAGAAATCCTAGAGGTGACCGATAATAGAGCTTTTTCTTGAGGAAGAGCTCGCTAAAGCTACCTCTAGTTTTCAAGCTATGTAAGTGAACTTACTCTGCTGCACAGGTAAATACTTTATCTGGGCATATATACACATGAGTTTGGGGTAGCATATTGTCAGCAAGAGCGATGCTGTTGTAAGAGCTGCTGTGTGTTGCTACGTGATCCTATTGTGAAGTTAGATGTATTAGTTTAAATCAATGGGGATAACCTGAAAGTGCCCAGATGGTTCCCCACTGTGGTTCAGCTGCCTTGGAATGCCTTGTAATGCAACTCAGTTGTTCTTGTCCTCTGAAGAAGTTGTATCCTTCTGCTAGTGCTTTCTGCTATTTTTTATTTATTTTTTTTTGTCTATTTCATCATGCCTTCATTATCTTACTCTTCTATTCCTGTCCATAAAATCATGTTGATTGGCCTGATATTTCATGGATGTGACATAAGAAATGTTAACATACACTAATGTCTGTCTGTCTTCACATATATATATATGTTTGTCTCTGGTTGATGTCATTCTTGCAGCCTATTTGTACCTATCATTTTAGAGGGACTAGTAATGCTGACATAGATGTGCACAGAATTTGCTTTGAGAACTGCTGCTTGTCTGATAGCTGATGATAATTCATCTCTAAGAGCAAGTGATGGGGTCTCTGAAAGATGTGAAAGAGATGCTGCAAAAGATGTTGAGTGTACTGCAGAGTTTAGCTTGCGCGCATCACCCTATGCCTCAGTTTAGATCTGAGTTCAGTTAAGCAATTAACAAAGTGGGAGATGCACAGGAAGGGGTGCTCTTTGCAAGGTGTGGTGATTTCAGACTCAGAATTGCTTTCTCCACACCTTAAACCAGAGCTAAAATTGAACAAAAAAGACTAAAATTGCAAAATGTTCCTAATAATAGTAATAAAAATAGTAATAGAATTATAGCAGATTCATTATATAGTTTAAAATAATGATGATGATGATGATAATATGTTTGGTTTAATGCTGTTATCTAGAAGAACGGTTCAGAGACTCACCAACCAATTTTGTGCCAGGGCCCATAGTCTTGATTTTACTGCTTTGCTGGGAGAAGAGAGACATTCACTGATCTCTCCGTAATGACAGCATTTAACACAAGCTCTGTCCTTTTCCTCAAGGACTAAAGCATAACTTGCCTAACATTACAACAGATGCATACTCCCCGCTTCTTGTTTTTACTTTCTTGGAACAACCCATTGATGATGCTGTGTCTTGATTTAAAAGCAAGGGAATGGAATCTCAGGTCAGCTGCAAACAATGGTTTTCTATGCTTACCCTTTGCAGCACACTCTAGGAGAACCGTTTCCCATGTTTGGAACTCTTTGCGGATTTTTGTAAACAGCCTGATTTCATTTCCAGCCAACTGTTCCTCTCCACGTATTGTCTGAGAGACATCTTGATTAAAGAGTTTGATCAACTGTAGTGAATTAAAGAACAAGCAAGAATGTTGTAAAGTTTCATTTCTCCAGACTGACTTGCATCTGTAAAGCAAATCTGCAATCTTTTGATGTTAAAGCAGGAGCATGGTTCATTGAAAACATCCCTTCCTTACATCTTTTATGCTTGCAACTCCTGTTGTTTTGTTTGGTTTTTTGTTTGGCTGTCCCCAAACCAGCACAGCTGGAGGAGAATAAACTTGATACTTTTTTTGTTTTTCCTTTCCTGTGGACTCTTAGAACCATTTAGCAAACTGTATTTGACCAGACTTGTATGAAACCTTTGAAGGCTGATGAGCCTTCTTAAGTGCCCCTGCTGGCCTCCTGAAAGCTTTCTGTAAGGGATTAGTTCCCCAAGATAAGATACTTGGACGGACTAGTAAACCATATTTTGATATCAAGAATGCATTTGATTTTATGAGTGCTGTAAACAATATAAACCCTTCAAAAAGTTTGTGGCAGGCAGGAGTGTAATTTTTCCATCCCTGAGATGCTTGAGTTTGACCTTTCAACTGAGTTGTTGTTCAGTTTTCATGACATAATCACATGAAAAATATTGCTAGAAGGGACCATGAGCTCCTGTGGTCCATTGTTTTTGTAGCTATGATGTATTCCTTCCAGAGGTTTGTCTATGTTGCTCTTGAAACTCTTCGATGACAGATACCACAAGCTTCCTGGTGCTCCATGCCAATGTTTTCCTAACTTTTAGTGGTTTCTTTTTCTCCCACATTTACCTCTTCATTCTGCTCTGTGACAAAATCAATATTGATACTCACATCAGTGAGGACAGTCAGCTTCTCAGACTCTGTTGTGGGTGAGACTCTTTTGTACTTTTGTAGATCCTGTAATGTTTTTTGTAGTGCCTCATGAATTTGTTTCTCCAGTGCTGGCAAAGTGTTCTGGTGGGTAGACAGTGAAGAAGGATATTTAGGTAGGTTGAACATGTTTGGCTTTGGAAGGAAAATAAAACCAATCTAAGAATGACCTATACCTGCACAAGATCTTTGCTGCTCTTTGAAGTCTAAGAGCTTGCTGTCCTTGCATCCCACACATGACAGTGGGATACCATGGAAATACAAATATGGCCTTCATTGAGAGAAGGCAGGGGGCTAAGACCTCTCTGTGAGGTGGGCAGAGTAGCTACAGTCCCTAGGCAACCTAGCAATAGTCCCTAGCAACATTTCATCTATAGTGAGCCAAAAACTGTCCTCACAGGTTGTGCCAGGGAGGTGATGATGTGGGGAATGCACTGACCCTTCCATTCCTGATAAATGCCTGATTGAACACAGCTGTTTAGTTGCATCAGGATATGTAAATGCTTTTTTTTCTCCTTCAGTATTGAATTTAGAGGCTCCCTGTATTTTAGCATTTTCCCTTAATGGAATAAGATATATTACTTGCAGATACATGTCTATAAAATTGAAACTCCAATATATTTACATTAGTATAATAATATAATAAAACAATTACTTGATTTTTTTTAAGACATTTTCAGTTAAATAGAAATTATTGTGTTTTAGTACGCTCATAACAGTAACTTGTCACCCAGTCAATCAACATTCACAAACAGAAATAACATGGCTGTCATTGAAAAAGCAGGAGTTATGAGTCACAAATGAAATTATTTGTCTATTGTTAACGTTCAGTTTAAGATTAACAGAACACAGGTTTTTCACTTATAACTCTCAGTGCAATTTGTCCTTAGATTGTCGGACTGAAGGATAATTAAGTGCTCTCTATGCATATAAAGATGCAATCCAATTGCAATCAATTGCAACCCAAGGTTAAAGGGCTGAACTTATTTCTAGATTGTAACCAGCACAAACAGCTTAGTATAGCGCTTCTGTTACTTACAATAATATGTCCCACAAGTTCATTTGTGAGCTTTTCTGCCAGATAAGGGATAGTAGCTCTTCTTTCTTCCAGCAGAATGCTGCAAAAAAGAGGAAAAGGTGTTTTTGGTAGACTGCATGGGCAGGGTAAGGAGGTAGCACTGATGCTTTGCTCTTTTTTCACTAGTTGTACACAATTTGAGTAAATACACAAATTGAGTAAAAGAAGGGCTGCCTGAGAGTTCAAGCACAATTGCAGCAGCAGCCTAGGACTCTGGGCATTTAACGCAAGAGTTGTTTGGCAGCCGCTGATACTGGCTAAGCAAACGGAAACAGAGAAGAAGCTGAAAATAGCAAATTGTAACAGCAGATTAATGTGCTGCTGTGTTACTTCTGCATGCGTGAAGTACACTGATTCCAAACCCTTTTCGCCTGCCATTCTCTATATTATGATTGATTTGCTGCTGAGTCATCTTCTGGGGAAATCTGTGCCCTTAGCACAGTCAGTATCCTTTCTCATGCTGAGTTTAACCATGTTTCCCAGTGCATGGAAATACTTTAGTGCCTGACTTGAAATGCTCGACTTGAAGTGCTCAAGCACTTAAGATGTTTAAATTAGAGTTTTTGAAATTATTTTGAACTTCTGAAGACCATTGCACTTCTCCCAGGGTTAAGGGGAGATATATATATCGAACTTGCATCCAAAACGCATTTTAAAGTTTTATTTGATGTGTAAAATTCTTCTGGCTTCCTGGAATGTAACACTACATGGGCAATGAGAAGTACTGAATATCATTAAAACTTGTTTCTAACCCTACTTTAAAACTCACCAAGTTGACAGGAAGCTTTGAAGTGACTTTAATATGTTTTTGATTAGGTCCTTGCTGTGAGAAGTACCTGAAATGTTTGTGAGTCTGGAAGAATTTTCTCTCCTGCTGGATTGCAGTGGCCAAGGACAGTTTGTCGTGGATGTCCTGCTGCCCGCGACACTTCACAATCATGTAACCTTTTTTGAGGGGGATGACCTTGTTTTGCATTATCTTAATGACAGACTCTTCAGTTCCTCTATCCACCAGGTCAGGTTTTGTGAGGATCCCTGGGAAATTACCCAAAAAGAAAGCTAGTCAAGTGCAGAGGTTAAAGGTGGGAGAGGTGTAGCAGGACACCCAGAGAAGGAATACTCTATACCATGTTTTATAAAGCAACTTCTCGTCATTTGTTGGGTTTTTTTTTCTCCTCTAGAGAGCTCTCAGCTCTTGGGCTTTGCACTGTAAAACTTGCTCCGCAGTTGGCCTCCCACCCTCTTTATGTCTTGCAAATCCTTTTTTAACAGGCAGCAGCAAAGCTTTCCTGCAATTGTAACATATAAGCCAGCAAGACTCAAAATTGAGGGATTCTTTGAGCTACTGGATCATCTCAAGCTTTGTAAATAGTTCATTTAGGCTGTTTTCTTTTTTCCTTCTTCTAGTAGCTAATTCTACAGATCTAGCACGGAATACAGAACATCAGACCTTCATGGAAACAAGATTCACATTTCTCTTCAACTTGTAGATCAAAAATTGTCTCACCTAGTGTCCTTTCTCCAGTGGGATCCACCTCTTGAGCCATTTTCAATGCTTCTGTTGTTGCAATATCCACATTACATGGCACCACTACCAAATTGAGTGTTTCTTTGAAGCGAATAATTTTTTTAAGTAGTATTTTGATCTGTAATGCAATACACATTAAGAAAATTCAGTGAAATTAGATGCTTCCATGTAAGATGTGACTATTTCTAGCAATATGAGCCACTGTTTAATGGCATTAAATGTCACATTTACTGAGGATAGTATTACATGCTAAAGGATAGCATGGAAATGGGTCAGCAGTAAAATGCAGCCTCTTTTTCTATGTCAAGATTAATCTAAACATCTAGCATGTTTGGATGTTATGCCTGTCCTGAAAGCTATGTGCAGTTTAACCTCTCATGCATATAATCTGTCATGGAAATATTGAAGATATTTTGCAAATAATCACGTGTGAGAAAAACAAGTTCTGATACCAAGGTACACACTTACAGAAAGAAAGCAAGATATATCATAGAATCATAGAATAGTTAGGGTTGGAAAGGACATTAAGATCATCTAGTTCCAACCCCCCTGCCATGGGCAGGGACACCTTACGCTAAATCATATCACCCAAGGCCTCATCCAACCTGGTCTTGAACACTGCCAGGAGTGGAGCATTCACAACCGCCCTGGGCAACCTATTCCAGTGCCTCACCACCCTAACAGGAAAGAATTTCCTCCTTATATCCAATCTAAACTTCCCCTGTTTAAGTTTGAACCCGTTACCCCTCGTCTTGTCACTACAGTCTCTAATGAAGAGTCCCTCTCCAGCATCCCTATAGGCCCCCTTCAGATACTGGAAGGCTGCTAGGAGGTCTCCACGCAGCCTCCTCTTCTCCAGGCTGAACAGCCCCAACTTCCTCAGCCTGTCTTCATACAGGAGGTGCTCCAGTCCCCTGATCACCCTCCTGGCCCTCCTCTGGACTTGTTCCAACAGTTCCATGTCCTTTTTATGTTGAGGACACCACAACTGCACACAATACTCCAGATGAGGTCTCACAAGAGCAGAGTAGAGGGGCAGGATCACTCCTTCGACCTGCTGGTCACGCTCCTTTGGATGCAGCCCAGGACACAGTTGGCTTTCTGGGCTGCAAGTGCACACTGAAGCCGGCTCATGTTCATTTTCTCATCTAGCAACACCCCAAGTCCTTCTCCACAGGGCTGCTCTGAATCTCTTCTCTGCCCAACCTGTAGCTGTGCCTGGCATTGCTCCGACCCAGGTGTAGGACCTTGCACTTGGCATGGTTAAACTTCATGAGGTTGGCATCAGCCCACCTCACAAGCATGTCAAGGTCCCTGTGGATGGCATTCCTTCCCTCCAGCGTATCAACCGAACCACACAGCTTGGTGTCATCGGCAAACTTGCTGAGGGAGCACTCAATCCCACTGTCCATGTCACCGACAAAGATGTTGAACAAGAGCGGTCCCAACACCGATCCCTGAGGAACACCACTCGTTACTGATCTCCAGCTGGACATTGAGCCATTGACCACAACTCTTTGTGTGCGGCCATCCAGCCAGTTCTTTATCCACCGAGTGGTCCATCCATCAAATTGATGTCTCTCCAATTTAGAGACAAGGATGTTGTGTGGGACAGTGTCGAACGCTTTGCACAAGTCCAGGTAGATGACATCAACTGCTCTACCCTTGTCCATCAGTTCTGTAGCCCCATCATAGAAGGGGCTACAAATTGGTCAGGCAGGATTTCTCCTTAGTGAAGCCGTGCTGGCTGTCACCAAGCACCTTGTTGATTTTCATGTGCCTTAGCATGCCTTCCAGGAGAATCTGCTCCAAGATTTTGCCAGGCACAGAGGTGAGACTGACTGGTCTGTAATTCCCTGGGTCATCCATTTTCCCTTTCTTGAAAATGGGGGTTATATTTCCCTTTTTCCAGTCATCGGGAACTTCACCTGACTGCCATGATTTCTCAAATATGATGGCCAGTGGCTTCGCAACTTCATTTGCCAGCTCCTTCAGGACCCGTGGATGGATCTCATCAGGACCCACGGACTTGTGCACATTCAGATTTTTAAGATGGTCTCGAACCAGTTCCTCTCCTACAGTGAGCACAAGGTCTTCATTCTCACAGTCCCTGCATCTGCCTTCCAAGACTTGTATCATGTTGATAAATCTCAAATTTGTATCTCTGACAGGAGAGAAAATGTCTTTGTCTTATATTTCAGTGGAGTATTTGTGGGAAAAAAAGAAACAACCCAAAACCTCAAACCAAAACCAAGCAACCAAACAAAAAAGTCAAACAAGTCATCTATTTGGTGTTGCTTCTATGTTTCAATGCAAGACTAAAAGAGTTTGTCATAGTTTGTGTTGTATTACAAAAGGCTTACACACATCTACTGTGCTTATACTAAAGTAAGTTTATTCTTTTTTTCTCCTGAGTTTTGGTAAAGGTGCCTCTCTTTTATACTTCACATCCATCCCAATTTCTAACATGCTACAATGCTATAGCCTCTGTCTATGAGGCATGCAGGTTGAAAATGTATGGAATATGTCATACCTGCTGCTTTTTTCTGAATACAATAGAAAGATTGCTATCTAAGTGTGAAATGAAATTAGTCTTCTCCCAGCGAATTAAGCTCAGATAATCCAATCTTGTCTTACCTGCTGCTTTCTTCTGAATACAATGGAAAGATTGCTATCTAGGTGTGAAATGAAATTAGTCTTCTCCCAGGGAATTAAGCTCAGATAATCCAATCTTGTCTCAGTTTTGTTGATATGTCTAGTTCAGTTTGTGCTATTCTTATTCCAAGTTCCAATTTAAAGGTATTCTAGGAGAAACAGTACACCCAGCTCCTGCACATCATCCTTATAGATCATAGAATCATAGAATAGTAAGGGTTGGAAAGGACATTAAGATCATCTAGTTCCAACCCCCCTGCCATGGGCAGGGACACCCCCCACTAAACCATCTCACTCAAGGCTCTGTCCAACCTGGACTTGAACACCATCAGGGATGGAGCATTCACAACTTCCCTGGGCAACCCATTCCAGTGCCTCACCACCCTGACAGGAAAGAACTCCCTCCTTATATCCAATCTAAACTTCCCCTGTTTAAGTTTTAACCCATTACCCCTTGTCCTGTCACTACAGTCCCTAATGAATAGCCCATCCCCAGCATCCCTATAGCCCTCCTTCAGATACTGTAAGGCTGCTAGGAGGTCTCCACGCAGCCTTCTCTTCTCCAGGCTGAACAGCCCCAACTTCCTCAGCCTATTTTCATATGGGAGGTGCTCCAGTCCCCTGATCATCCTCGTGGCCCTCCTCTGGACTTGTTCCAACAGTTCCATGTCCTTTTTATGTTGAGGACACCACAACTGCACACAATACTCCAGGTGAGGTCTCACAAGAGCAGAATAGAGGGACAGGATCACCTCCTTCGACCTGCTGGTCACACTCCTTTTGGTGCAGCCCAGGACACAGTTGGCTTTCTGGGCTGCAAGTGCACACTGAAGCCGGCTCATGTTCATTTTCTCATTGACCAATACCCCCAGGTCCTTCTCCACAGGGCTGCTCTGGATCTCTTCTCTGCCCAACCTGTAGCTGTGCCTGGCATTGCTCCGACCCAGGTGTAGGACCTTGCACTTGGCATGGTTAAACTTCATGAGGTTGGCATCAGCCCACCTCACAAGTGTGTCAAGGTCCCTCTGGATGGCATTCCTTCCCTCCAGCGTATCAACCGAACCACACAGCTTGGTGTCATCGGCAAACTTGCTGAGGGCGCACTCAATCCCACTGTCCATGTCACCGACAAAGATGTTGAACAAGACCGGTCCCAACACCGATCCCTGAGGAACACCACTTGTTACTGATCTCCAGCTGGACATTGAGCCATTGACCACAGCTCTTTGCAAGCAGCCATCCAGCCAGTTCTTTATCCACCGAGTGGTCCACCTATCAAATTGATGTCTTTCCAATTTAGAGACAAAGGATGGCCTTGTCCAACTAGAGTTTTATCTGCATTCTCCAGCATTTCTTCTAAAAGTAACCAGAGGAAGAGCAGAGATCCCCTCCAATTTAGTGCATATTCTGTTCATTTGAAAAAGGGTCTGCTGGGACCCCTTAAGGGGTGAGAAAACCAGAATGGGTCTGATTCTGATGAGCTCCATAAGTAATGGATAACAGAGCAAAAAACCTGTAAGAGGGCAAATTTGCTGCCTTGTTTCAGGAGAGCTTACAAGAGCTCAGATCTATTAATCTTTGCCAAATGCATCCAAAAAGCTGGTAAGAGACAACTCATTTTGGGATGTATCTATCTACTAGACTGCAGTCTAGCCAAGGGACAGACAGGCAACACTGTGTTCAGGGTCCATATGGGTGGCTTATTCCATGTTCCCATGGGTAGGCTGTGGCAGGGCCCCTGATGCGGCTCCTTCCCAGCTAGTGTGGGCAACTCCCTCTGGCAAGACAGGGCAGACAGAAGATCCTGGGCCTCACTGTTCCTGTGAGCAATTCCTTGCCTGAAAAATAGGGCTGTTTGTCAGGGTAGCTTTATTGCTGGCTCAGAAGCCCAGCATAATAACTTCAGCATCCTACAGCAAAGGCTTGTATATGAGGTACGTTACAGAAGTGACTCTGTGAATAGACTGGCGTATGAGGAGACCGAATTTTACCTGTTCCCCAATGTCTTTTGGCTGGTCCCCCACAGCCACTCTGGCAATTCCAGGAAGATCAATTAACGTCAGATCTGGTACATCTGGCGACCAAATTTCTAGGGAAACCAGTTCTCCACTAATGGCACCTTTAGTACCAGCCACAACATTCTGGGCTGAAGAAGAAAAGAATGAGGCAATGAATATAAGCTTTAAATAATGCATGAAAGTGAAGTTGAGCACAATGACTTTGAAAAATATCTGCTACCAACTAAAGTACTTTTAGGCTTGGCTTTTTTAGGCATGGCATCCAGCCATGCACGTAAATCCATTAATGTAAAAATATAAAGAAATTATTATGCAATTTGTGGGTACATGGAGTCCTTTTGCAATGTGAACTTTAATACTTTACAGAGCATATACTTATGAACTCTCATATATGCAAAGTACACATAGGTAAACCACAACAAAAGTGATTGGACAGAATACTGATCAGTTTTAGAAATTAGATTTCTCAATGTTAAGACACTTTGTAGGCATTAATTAATCCTTGGCTGCCTCGGAAGATAATGACATTCTATATTCTTCACATTTTGATAGGTTGAGAGATCAAGTGATTTGTCCCAAATCTCGTAAGGCAATAATGCTTGAACTGTGAACAGTATAGACAAGCAAGGAAACACAGTAGTCATTCTCATGAGGAATTTTCAGTTCTGTAATTAGCTTAATCAATTCATACCACTTACTTGGCCAGTTTTGGAAGGATATATTGAAAATACCAAAATAATACATTGAAAAGCTAATGGAAAAACATTAGGACCATTAACAATATTGCAGAGCAATGTTAGTCAAAGAAATAAGAACAATCCAATTTTCACAAAGACCTTACCATCCTTCGGGCAAGAAAAATGTTTCCTTGCACAGCATAAAATACCATAAAATCAAAGCTGTGACATAAAAAGTGCAGTGATTGAGGCTGTAGTCACACTAGCTGGCTGAAGCTCTTTATGCTTTCTAGTCTGCCTTCTTGCAATTTTCTCCAAAATCATAAGATTTACAGCCACAGACACCTCAAACATTCTCTGAGTGAACTGAAGACAGGAACCAGTTAGGGCTTCGTATTTGATTGACAACCTTCCCAAACCAGGCAGACAGCATCCAGCTGAGGACACATCGTGGCCTTTTATTGGACATCATGAGTCATCCTAACTATTGATCTAATAAGTGGTACAACTTTCATAAGAGAGTTAATTTATGCTCTCCCACCGTCTCCTGCTCTAAATCCAGCTCTTGGTGTTACTGCTGGCTACAGTCACTGTGTTGATGTGCAATCACTACAGTCTAGAGACTGCTGCTTAGCTTAAGAAAAGATGAGAAAGGATTCAGAGATTGAGAAAGCCGAATCAGAGGGGAATACATTACAGCTCACCTTGTCTTATTGCATTATCCACCTCAGAGGCATTGTGGAGCTCAATGTTAAAGCTGCGGTAACGAATTTTCCCTTTCCATTCCTGGGTGGAAGGTGTTCTTTTCAGTTTAAGTTCCAAGGGACATCGAGTAACAATACCTGCAGCAGTTCCAAAAACAGAGGTAACTCTCTCAGCAGCTTTTACGCATGATACACAGCATATGGACTGCATGGTGTATATAGGGCTGCCTAATACTTTGCGCAGAGGCACAGAAATGTTTCAGGAAACTTTGACAAAGGGCTGTCGTCTGACTTGTCATTCAGAGTAGGACTGTCATTGGCACTAATGAGGTCAGTCATGCCTCTGTCCTGCCACAGTTTGTCTTGCAAACCTCCAAGGATGGAGATTTGCACTCCTCTGGGTGACCTGTTTCGGTGCTGCACATACATCCTATGAGAACCTTCTCTTCAAGTCCAGCTTGAAAGACTAGATGGCACTGTCAATGCACACAGAACTTGCAGACCTTATGTTTGTGTATATACACACACAGAGAACTAAAAGGCGAATCTTGAGCAGCAAAGTCTTCCAACAATCTTCTCTGACTTATATAACATCAAAGGCACATATTTGTTAATAGAGATCTTTGTACACTTTTTTCCATACAAAAAAAAACAAAAAGAAAAAGAAAAAGAATAGGTATCTGTAAGAAAATCTTGTTTAAAAAAAACCACAAACCAACTTCAAAAGCAAATTTCAAAACTAGTCTTCTATGTGAAACCGACACTCTGCTGCACTACTCTGCTGGGAAACGTACAGAATCAGCTGATGCGGCCTTTCAATCTGGCCACATTTTGAGACAAGTACATTACACTATACTTTTCTTACTCCTGGTCTCTTGACCACCCAGGAAGTGTGCCTTGTTGAAGTTACCCTGTGATGCTTGACCTGCACATCCGCTTCTTCTACTGGAGACCAGAGCTGAGAAGGCCCTTGGGATCTCACAACTTAGATACAGTCTCAGTCATGGAGTTATCCAACTCTAGAAAATAAAATAATAAAAATCCCTTCTACAAAGTGAAATTCAGGTGAGTTCTGAGAAAGTGAATCCTTACCATTGCCTCTAGGAAGAGCAATACCAGACAGGGCTTCTAGGACGGAGCTTTTCCCAGAGCTCTGGTCTCCAATCACTGCAATCGCAGGCAAAGCCATGTCTTTTTCTATTCCGAGAGCTCTTAGGCTATCGATGAGATTAATGCAGGGTCGGATTTTTTCTTCATATTGGTTACACAAGGTACGTTCTGCTGCCTGTTAGAGTTAAACTTATAATTAATTTTTAATTATTTTAAAAGAAGTTGTTTCCTCACAAAACCACCCCACTTTTAGGCATCTTTTCCGGCTCATCATTCCCAAGTAAACCTTATGTACTGGCATCAAGCTGTACTTCATATCACTATGCATCCTTGCACCTCCAATGTTATACACAGGTGTCTGTAAACAGGACAAAATCAGCTGACGTTGGCTCAATGATTATCCTTAGTTAAAATACCAAGCTTAGTAAGCTATTGTGAGAAGGTAAAGAGTAAAGGGAGACTCATTACTAAATGTGCTTTGTTAATATACTGTTGTGTTTTTTTTTAATAAAAAATAACTACCATTTTCTACCATTCATCTACAGTTGTACCGGATTATGTGTATGCAACTGAAATCTAATCCCAGTAGTAAGAGAATTTAGTACACAATAGCTTATTAAATCTTTGTTTTGAAGTTTGAAGGTTTAATTTTTGCACAGACACCAAAAGTGTTCTGATCTAGCATCCTTAACAGGTGACTAAAATCTTTTAATCCATGATGGCTCTTCTTTCTGTGCCTCATTTTAGGCTAGGGTAAAGGATGAATGATTTGTTTTAAATGAAAGATTATTATTTTTTTGTTTGTTTGTTTTGATACACATGCCAGGTATTAACAAAGGCTCTTCATTTTCATAAAAACAAACCAAATAATTTCCAGCCCTTTAAAAAACTGGTCCACCTGCTGTTAAATATGGTCAGCTAAAGTTAGTTCAGCTTGGTTTCTTCTTCCTATTCCTGTCTCCATTCTGGTCTGGCTGCTGCATTTAAAAATGTAATTCTGATAACACCAGTATCTTACAAACTCTAACAGGTCAGGCACATTCATACCTAATTTCTTCCAAAGAAAACCAGGAGTTTCCCACCTTTGCCTATGTCTAAGAAAGCCACCTCTGAAAATACATCTATCAGTCGTATGTAATCAAACACAGCAGCTTTTTTCTTTCAAGATAAGAAAGATATCACACATTACCGGCAGCAGGTATTTTAAAACCTTATTGGTAAGGTTCTTCATTATGATATTTACTAGCTGGTAAATCCTAAATATTTTCAAGGAACTTCATTAAATATGACACAGATTGAAAACCAATCAGTGTTAAATATTTAACACAGATAATGATCAATCTTCATTGATTGATCTCTATTGAAGGTAGAAGAGCCTTAAGTAAAAAAAATCTTCTAAAGGATTTCTATTCAATGTTTGCTAATTGTTACCAATGAAGCAGATATATGTTGCACATTAAATTGGCTGCTAGGCTGCTGCCATCCTATTTTTTACACCTGTATTTTTTATGCTTGCAGATAAATTGCAGGTACTTATCTTTCTAGTTACACAAAGGACTGCTTGGCCCTGATCCCAAAAGTACTCCTCTGCTTAGGCCTAACAAGATCAGACTGCCCAAAGAGACAACAAAATTCATTTCGGAGTACAAAGTGAAACAAAGGAATAACAATGGGGAGCATCTATGCCACCTTCTGGTGTCTGCCTTACTTTGTCCTCTTCTCCATAATATTGTTTCTTCAACTCCTGGTCATAGTTAGGCTTTCTCTCCATCACGTTATCCATTGTCATAACTTCATCTTCTAACTCTGGTGGAAGAGGTACTGCAAAAGCTTTGAAAGATGGTTATAAGGAATGCAATGCAAAACCATTTTTCACTAGGGCAAATTTTGTTCCATTAAAAGGTTGGTTGATTACTGCACTCTTATTATTCATGGCCTGCTGATTTTTTGGCTTACCTGGTAGACTGTCCATCAGTGCTTTACTACTCATTGCTGTTTGGTCCAATCACTCCTTTATATAGCCCCTGAAATCAAACATAGGACACTGAGTGACTAAACTTGTAATAGTTATCATAGCAGAGAAAATCAAACACCACTTTTATTTACTGATTCAAACCCTCAGTAGATATCAAGTGCCACAGCTCTTTTCAAATCATTAAAATTGCTCTCCAGAGGGTAGACTTGAAACGCTTCTTACCTCTTTCATGCTTTCTTTGTGGTTTGAAGAAAAGAATTTGTCAAAAAGTAAATCAGAATATTAAAAAAACCCAAACAACAACAAAATTACGCTCTTTTTTGCAAAAAAGGCAGTTTTTCTCAATGAAAATTTATGCTGAAAGGTGTTTTGAGGACCTCAGTCAGTAGAGCAGCTGCTGGGCATGGCTGGAGAGAGTGTGCAAATGCTTAACTTCAGCCACCTGGGGTCAGGAGTATAGGGCTGTGTCCCTGCACAAAGAGGGTCTTACATGGGTGGGCCAACAGCAGTGAGAGTAGGACACATCAAGCCATAGTCTGCTATGAGGCCAACTCACCTCTCCTGCAGTAGAAACACTTGGCAGAGTCAAGTCTTATACCTATTTTAGAAGTTCAGTGTCTTAGTCCCCTTCCTCTATAAATTAAAACCCTCTCCAAAAAGCAGACTTTGCTTGACAAAATGTTAGAGAAGGGACAACTAGGAGACTTTTTTTTCTTATTTTTCCGCTTTCCATTTTATTAAAGTTTGTTGATATATTTTCTATGGATGACTGAAGAAACCAGAGGCCTTTGATGTGACATTTGTAGGGGAAGTGGTTTCCCGTAAGAATAATTTAAAGAGAAAAACAGAGAATTATTTTTTCAAAGACAGATTTTTTTTAACCTTTCACTGCCAAAATTAAGATCTGTTTAATTCAAATACTTGAGAAAATGAATTTGGAGAAACACATTTTTGCTTGAAAAAACTTTCTGGGTTTTAAATTTTTTGGTTGAATTAGGTTTACAGGTTTTCTAATTTGAGCAGGTGTCAAAACAGGATGATCAGACCCAAGTTAAACTTTCAGTGTAAAACAAGTTTAGAAAAAAGAAAAGATTAATTCCACATTTACTATTTGGTCTTTCTTTTAAATAAAGCAGTATTTTTTAGTAGATATTCCTGTTCCCTTTAAAAAACAAAACAAAACAAAAAACCCAAAAAACAGCCTATGGGAAAACTTACCATTTTTGGCCAGCAATAACAAATAACTGAACTACTTTCATTTCTTTGTAGTTACTTATTTTACAGTTCCTTCATCTTTGTCCACACTTCCCCTTTCTTTAGCATTCCAGTATGAACCTTTTTCTATTAATGAATTCAAAAATTCCTCTTCTGCAAATGAAGTCTCAGTGCTTTATCTGCAGCAAACATACATTCCACATTCACTGGCCACCAAACTCTTCAGTGATTTGCTATTGCTAGAGGAAATAATTTACTGGTAATAATTTTTCTAGCGGTATTCCCTTTTATTGCCTTTCCCATTCCCCATTCCTTACCTGTGTTTCAATTTAGTGAACCAAACACTTCCTATGAATTTTTAATTTAATGTAAACATTATCTGAGAACAATTTTCTATCATTTTTACATTATTATTTATATTCATTGGGCTATTAGTGTACTGATTTTAGCATATGGCCTCCTAAACATGGTTGTGTTTACTTCAGAAAGAGATTATATAGCAAGCTTTAGATATCCTTATAATGAATAGGATGGAATGCAAAAATGGTGTAGTAACACCACCAGGAAAAATAAAAAGAGAAAGATCTTCCAAGATAAACTTGTAACATCTAGGAAACTGAGATTTAAGGAGTCTGACAAAGGAAGTGCCAACTTTGAAATGTTTTAGTGCAAGAGCTGTATCTTAACCATATACCTGGGTTTTTAGCTAAGTCTACAGTACAGACCACAGCATGCACACACAGGTACACAGGCTAACAAAGATACCTACAGTAAGCAATGCATTATCTACAGTAATCAGCAAGCATGGGGCTACATCTGTTCTTCATCTGGACCTGAAAAATGCTAGGTAGGTTGGTGCAATCCCTCACTGTGCCATACAGACATACTGATTTCTTTGTGTGCTGTGCCTTCACAGCATTGGATGAAAAAGAGACAGAAGGAGAGGAAAAAAAGAGCTTCAATTTTAAAGTGCCTTTCTGAAACTGGCCAGAGTCTATACATGAAACATGACACCTGGGTGACGTGCTGATATTGTAAGTCTGATAACACTCCTCTTTCCCAGAGCTGCTTCTGCCTCCATTATTGGAACAATGGTGGTTTCCTTGAACCTTACCCTTTAGAGGTTTGTCTGCCTGTGTGTCAGAAATCTCCCCTGGCACAACACAAAACACTGAGCTATGCAACCACATCATCATGAAGCATGAACTTGCTGATCATCCTGAAGACTAGTTGCCTCATTCTTCTCTAACAACCCCAGCTTTGCATCTTGAGAGGTAATAAGAAAACTAGCTATCAAACCCAAAGTGCAAAGCTGTGGCACTGAACCCACACAGGTCTTGCATTTATTCATCTTTGTCCAGCTAGAGGAGCACAAGGACTTCTGCCTGACATATCCTGCGACTTCAGGATATTTGGGTAAACTATATGGTCTCTGAGTTGTATATTTATTAATTCTAGCTGTCTTCTCAGAAAAAGAATGAAGCAATTCAAAGCTTATGATGCTACGTACGAATACTGCCAGCTAGACCATGTTGATGAACACTGCCCCCACACAGTAGATACTTTAAAAAATGTGTTCTGGTTTAAATGCCGTCTCTCAATGTTCACCCTTTAAAGAGGAAATAATACTAACGTCTTTTTCCCCACCCCAAGAAACAACAAATCCTACTTCTGGCAATCTTATTTAACCACACTAACTTTAGAATCCTGTGCGGCGTTCTCACATGCAACTATTGAAAGGAATGAAGACAACAGTCAAAACCTGCATGACTATTTTTAGAAGAGGGAAAAGAGAAACTTCTACCTGTGTAGTGTCCTGTAGCAAGGAGAAGTGGTAACTTCTTTTCAACTTCTTCTGGTGCTTTTTTATTTACAGGCTCCACCTACACTCTGTGATGAGAATCAGGAGAAATGAAACCAATTGCAACATGAAAAAGGGTTCACTTCATGGTAGCTCTGGAAATAATAGTATCATGTGTTGATTTTTTATTTCCTTATACACCAGCCAACTTTCCTCCTGTTGTTTAGCGGATGACAGAAATGACACTCCTCACGACACAGCTGGCTGCCTCCTTGCTTGGCTGTACTGCATGGCAGGGTGACAGAGGCAAATGGTGGAGGTACTTGGAAATATTGCCCATGAGCATCAACTCCTCTTTCCTCCCCCAAAAAGTAATCTCACCGAATCAGCTCTCATATATGTGGGGTGAAACCAAACAGGTTGAGCAGAGACCAGGCAAGCTGCTGAACCCTGCTCCCATGAGTGCTGCTGGCTGGGGATGCTGACACTGCACCATCTGAAGGACCCCTTTGGTCTCCTCTTCCATTCATGCAAACAGCAAGTGGGTGAGGGTCCCCTCCACAGGAGAAGGAGAATTTTTTTCCACCCCACGACAAGACTTTTTAGCCTTGCCAGAGTGGCGAGCTGTGCCACTGCTCACCTGGACTGCACCTTTGCTGTCAGAGGCTGCAGGGTACAACTGAGGTTGTTAAACATGGGCAAAGTGACACACAGTGTGATTTATCAGCATTATGTGTACTTCGAGGCAGTCAAGTTCTTGAGCTTTCTTAGGTCCTTGCACTGCATTTTTTGACATTACTGGGTCAGAATGCTCCCTCTTTTGCTCTCTTTGCTCTTCTGCCCTCATTTTTTTATGTTTTTAATGGACTCAAAGCTGTTATGCAAAATCAGCTTGCTTTGTCCTGGCAGGGGCTTTGCAACTCTGATGCAGGATCAGCCCTTATTTCTCACTCCCTCTGGTGTTGATTGCCACCTCTATCACCTGCTCTCAGTTTCTGGCAGTTCTGGTTGTGATCACAGCAGTCACAGCAGTCACAGTGATCACTTAAGCCAGCCCTTCTTCCTTCTTCCTTGTCTAGCAGTGACTCAGAGAGCTTGTCTCTGAGCTCTGGTTGTGGGTGCATGGCAGCGAGTGACAAAGATTCAGCGCTGCATGGGCACCAGCATGGCCCAGCGCAGGCCACTGCAGGGGGCTGCACCTTCAAGATCTGCTGGCTTCGTCCACCATCCCTCTTCTGGCCTTCTCCATCATCTGTCTTCTTGAACTCAAGCATAAAGGAGACTTATCTGAGGGGTAATGGGCTTCTAAGTCACACTACTGATCAGCTTATTAGCTTTCAGCAGTTCCTTTGTTATGTGATTGTTTTGGTTACATGGTTTTCTTTAATCACAGAACTACCCCTTCAAAAACAACCCTCACCTAAATTAATAAATAAAAGTCCTACAGACACACCAGAACAAACCCAAAAGCCAGCAGTAAAGAAACAAATCCTATAAACAACTATTTTGAAAAAGAGCACCACCCCACATAAAAACAAACCATATAACAAACATCCTGCCAAAATAAATAACCAACAAATAGAAGCTACCAAAAAATAAGGAGAAAGAAGAAAAAAAAGAAATATTGAAACTGGTGTAAAACAAAAAGGGAAACCAAAGCCCTAAACTGCCAAAGAATTGCTCAACTTGGGAAGTTAACTATAAATTGGCAAGGGAAGGGTGTTCAAGTCTCTTGCGCCATCTCTTGAGCTCCAGCCCCACAGAAGGAGGGTGAAGCAGGCAGTAATGGCATTTTTATATGAAAAAGAGAAGTTGACTGGGGCGTTGTTCCAGTGTAAGCACATCTAGTACGAAACTCAGCACTTTCATCCCACAAACCTGCTCAGTAGCTCCTGTAAAACTGCACAACTGTAGTTCTGCTCCTGCAAAAGCATAGTTTTGGTATTTGCAGCTGTGTTGGCTGCACATCCAGGGCAAGAGCAACATTTGCATGGCACAGGTTTGTGCTGTCAAGGGAGAAGGGTGTGGGGGTTTGGTGCTTACCGCACCCCTATTCTGAGCAGTGTCAGCCTATAGCAGAAAACTCCGTCAGTCCCCACAGAGTGGCTTGAACAATGAGCAGATGATGTACATCCGAAATCTTTGGGATTAATATCAAGCTTGTGGTAACATATTTTAGGTCATGTAAATTCCTCCAAAGATGTCAGCCACAAGGCAGTGTGCCTGAGAACTGAAACTGTGCTGTCGAGGGTGTTGTCTAGATAACATTCTTTCGATTCCCCTCCACATCCTGCCCGAAGCAGAGAGCGGAAGAAGGGGCGGAGTGAGCAAGCGGCTGTGCTGTGCGGTGCTGAGTTACTAGCTGGGCTTAAACCACAAGAAGTATTGAACCTACTTGTTCAAGGGATATTGGAATATGTTAATGGTCATTCTGATGATGGCCAAGAGATAGCAGATCCTGACATCTGGATGTTTACAAGTGGTGATATTTTTCCTAAGCTTTTTTTGCTGCTTTCCTAGCTTCTGCCAATGAGAAAGGAATAGAAGAGCAGTATCTGTTACAGATAGGGCAAATAAAGTCAGTTCCTCACAGCTGTTTAGTACTTTAGTGTTATAATTTGGGGCGGGGGAAATCTGAAGCATAAAATACTGTGTGTAGTCTATATGATTGCCCATGGACTGTTCAGGTGCAACTAGGTTTTCACATGCTTACTCTGCTTCTGTTCCTTTAATCTTGTTACATTAAAAATCAGTAAAATGAG